TAGATGTTGATTTCAGTTCTATTAATCATAGTAACCAATGGTAAACAACTTATGTGTCCATCAAGAGGAGAAGTGTTTAATTAATTATGGCACATACATACTTTAGAATTCTAGGGAGTAGGTGCTGTCATGGAAAGATTTTGCATTCACTTTATTAAGTTGCAAAGGTAAGTGAAAGGTTAATATATATGTAATTACCAAGTATGTTAAAAGAAAAATGATATATATTTTAATATACACATTTATGGAAAAGCCTAGAATAGCCTTTAAAATAATACGAAGTGAGAGAGTGGCATACACCACCAAATGTAAAATAGCTAGCTAGTGGGAAGCAGCCTGTAGCACAGGGAGATCAGCTCGGTGCTTTGTGACCACCTAGAGGGGTGGGATAGGGAGGGTGGGAGGCAGATGCAAGAGGGAGGAGATATGGGGATATATGTATACGTATAGCTGATTCACTCTGTTATAAAGCAGAAACTAACACACCATTGTAAAGCAATTATACTCCAAAAAAGATGTTTAAAAAAATAAAATAATACACACCAGATTTTTAATTGTGGTTACCTCTGAGAAGGGGTCTGAATTTTGAAGGAACTTTGTAAAGGGGGAAATTGTGATTGATTTTTATTTTTAGAATTTTTTTTACAAGAATATATGAACTACTAGCTTTCTAAGTAAAATATTTAAATAAGCTTAAAACCAGAAATAGGAGCTGTGTGTTAATCAGTTAAAGTAACTCCTTGCTGATGCAATAGACAAAACCTGAAATACAAGTGACTTAACACAATTGTTACTGTTGTTGTTCACATAAATTCTGATTTGGGTTGGCAGGGACTTTCTGCTTTCAGACGACTCAAGGATCCAGGCTGCTTCCATCTTGTAGCACCATTATCCCAACAAAGGGTCTCCATGTTTGCTGCTGAATGGCATAGGAAGCATGGAAAGGGCATACTGGCTTCTGCCTAACAACAAGCGGACCACCCAGGAAGGTGAGGAAGACAAGATGTGGACGAGCACTTGTAGTCTATTCCATAAGCCACCACACAGTCTCTCCCATAAGCTGGCACCTAGTAGGTGCTCAATAAAAAGCAGCGATTATAATTTGATATGACAACAACTCTCTTCATTTCTTGAAGGGAGTTTCTGAGAAAATCAAATTTACCTTGAGGTTCACCAACTTTTCAGGAACGAACCTACCATGTGACAAGTGCTTTCAAATATAGGACCACACCTAGTTGTCAAAGGGTTCTGTAAATCTTAGCAAGGAGACATCACCCTTCTTCACTCAATAGCACTTTTCTGCACTATTTGCAATAATCTTTGTAATCTCAACAGACCGAGAATTTTCTCCTTCCTTGTGATAGTCAAATTCTTTTAATTTATGAGTCTCTGCCACCTTATACATGACTGAACATTCCCAAACACTTGTACAGGTGCCTCTTGGCACACTGCAAACCAGGATTTTTCCTCTGTGGCAGGTACACAGACGAGGGGCAGTGGAAGAATGGTTGTTTTAATCAGCTCAAACTGTTTTAATAAGATACCATCGACTTAGTGGTTTAAACAACAGAAATTTATTTCTCTTCTGGGGTCTATGAAGTCCAAGATCAGGCTGCTGATAGACTCAGTGTCTCGGGAGGACCTTCTTCCTGGCTTGCAGACAGCCATTTTCTCGTTTTATTGTCACATGGCCAAGAGAGATCTCTAGCCTATTTCTCTTCTTATAAAGACACTAATCTCATCATGGAGACTCCACCGTCATGACCATATCAAAACCTAATTTCCTCCCAAAGGCTTTACTTCCTAATACTACTGCATTGGGGGTTATGTTTTTAACATATGAATTTGTGGGGGACACAAACGTGCATTTCCTAACAATGATGTTTTTTCATTTTTAAACAAACTAGCATGTCTGCTAAGGAACCATTTTCACCTCCTAGAAGGACTACAAAGATTTTAAGAATTTAGCCTCTGTAGCCTTTTGATTACACAGAGATTTCCACAGTCTTTCCTTATCTATCATTTATGAGGAAGGCTTTGTTTTTTAACTACATGGATAAGCACATCCATCTATGTATGTGTTCTGTGATCAATTTCAAAAAAAAAAGACATCCCATTAAAATCCTACTGCAAATATTAGGGTGGTTTCAAAAATAATGTATCTAACTTCAGAGTTATATCCCAACAACCAGTAGATTATGTGCCAAATCAGACTCTACCAACAAGCCCATTTGCAAAACACTTTGAGTTTGTTAAATACACCTGGGTAAATGAACATGTATTAGCTTCCTAGGGCTATCTGGAGACCTTGAAGGAGAGCTCCATCTCGTGGCTGTCTTCGACTTTCCGGTGATCGCCAGCAACCCTCGGCAT